CATACCTTAATCCTGCACAGTTAGCACCATATCTCCTTGTCGTCTACTTTCTTACTTTGGCCTGTTTGTTTCTCTTAAGTGTGTATTTGTCTTGTTACTTCCGATTTTATTTTCTGCCCTGAGTAACTGTCTTCTTTCTCTCTTATATTTGCATACGACTGGATGACACTTGGTGAAGGAAGGTCGTATCCATGACCATACACACGCTTTTTTTTTTCTGAGACAGAGACATACACTGAAGCAACTGGTTCCCACTTTTTTAGTGTTTGAGCTAGATGGCTGTATATGCAATGTTCACGAGTCATTGGAGGCCAGCTTTGCGTGGAAAAGCATTGTTCCTTAGCTGGAATGAAAACTGGAATTTCTGCTGACATTCACCTTTCCAGACCATCTGTCTCTGGAATGAAGCTATTTAAAGGAAGAGTGCTAGTAATATAGCATTGGTTTAGTCCCTAAAGTTTCCTGCTTTGGTAAAGTAGGAAACTCTTTTTGCACCTGAAAGGCATCTATGAAATTCAGATATCCCATGCCTGGGAATTAGTGGGCAACTTGCATAGAAATTCAGTTTTCAGAGAAGTCATCTGTGCTATACTGATAAATATCATGCAATAACATATTTTGCCTCCTCAGTATTTCTGCCTACATTACCCAAGCAAATCTTTTTCATTCAAAATTATAGAACAGATATCTCTTCCTTATACCAGGAATAACAACAGTTTTCCTTAATAACTAAAAGGCAGAAAATATATATAATGCTGTCTAGAAAATACAAATGGTGCTCTCTTCTATTTGGATCACCATCTGCGCTAATACAGAAAACCACAAAGAAGGGCTCGGGAAGTTTTGTAAAGTTCCCTTTCCAGATGTCCCCATCAGGTCTCAGGAAGGAGCCCAACCTTATTTGAGTAAGTAGTTTTTGTAACAATATTGAGTTCCTGGTTGAAACTCTTCATCCCAGTAATGAAGAGAGATTAAAAAATTACCGTTTGAGTATTTCTTAACATTTTGACTAGCAGAAGAGTTTAGCAGAGAAAAGGGAATGAAGCAATCGATCTTTCATCACAAATGGTATCTGATGGCATATTGGGAGCTGGCAAGAGGCTTTCATGCTGTAGCTTTTTTCAAATGTGTCTTTCAGTGTGTAACTAGTTCCCAAGCCTTAATGAACCACTTAAGTGCAGCAGCTATGGCAGCTTGTTCTCAAGAACTATAATCCCTCCTCTACCATTAGGAATGGATGCTTGTAAGTGGGGATTTATTTTCTTTCCAATTTTTTCTATAGGTATTTGATTTATAACATATCGTTCCTCAAACTGTGTTTAAAATACTTGTAAAGCCTTTGTAAACATACTTTTATTGAATTCCATGGGAGAGGAGAGAGCTGATTAAGGTTCACATTAGTCAGGAAAATAAAACAATAAGAAGGATTTTCCTGAAGGAAATGAGGAATTTACATAAATGCAGTTCATGCCACGAAAGTTTCATGAGAGAGAACTACTACTTCCATCAGTAAAGAAGTTGTGCATGTGCTGCAGAATGGTTTCATTGAATCCATCTGGTCTGTTCATAGACACACAAAACTATGAAGTCAATGGGAAAAAGTAAATGAAAAGAGCCAAAGAAATATACCAATAGGTTTTAGTCCCCATTGGTGGCAGGGAATATCACCCTTCCCAGGACCACATAGTATATTCTGTGTTTCAAAAGCAGCTGTGTCATTTTTCATGCTGGTCTTGAAAATATAAGGAGGTAATGAAGGAAAAAAAAAGTCATTGCATGTCAGTGCTAGCCAACAGCTGGTGACCCATTTTGCTCAGACACAAGGCTGTCCCTGGGGACACCAGCGGTCTGGCTTCTACTCTTTGCTCGCTACTCTCATCTGGTCAGTTTATTTCATCAAGCTTGTGTATTGCTCTTTGCAAAGGCTTTCAACTGTGTTTATACAAAATTCAAATGTTCTCACTAAGTCCTAGCTTTAAATTCCATTAGTCTAGTTGCTGGGGTAAATTGCAAGTTTGTCCTAGTGGATGTAAAGTTCTATATTAATTTCTACAAAGTATATCCCATCTTGCTGTTTGTTTAGAAATTTTTAAAAAATAGGCTTTAAAAAAAAAGTTTAGAGACATTATGGTTAGAAAAACAACCTTGCCTGCATAGATCAGCAGAGTGCTGACATATGTCTGCAAGCAACACAACTTTCCCTGGATGTATACATGATCGCTTGCTTCTTTCTTCTCAACAGCTAGACATGAGGGATGGCAGGGGACCTCATGAACCCTCAGACCAAGGGGTGGTTCTGAGTGTTTGTCTCACAGCTGCCATTTATCAGCCACATTAGTCCCTGATCTGGTAGATTTTGTTGTTGGCTCTGGGTAGGCTGTTGGATTTCTACCCTAAATTCAATGGGTATTGCATAGTGTTTAAGGTAATTGTTTAATTTTTTTAGTGTGAAATGTAACTAGGAAAGCCGTAAAGCTAAAAAGTAACCTTAGGACTGTGTTCTTTGGTAGATATCAGGAGTAAAGCCGGATTTGGTATCTGTGCTTTTTTGAAGAACGTATGATGATTATCCACCAGCTGGCTAGCCTACAGAAGTGGGTGTCAGCAGATAGTTCTCAGGAATTCAGTGTATTCCTGCATCTTGCATGCACAAAAAATGAAACTGCCTTGTCATAATGGCTTAACCGTCTTTTCATAAAATACTAATGGTACCAGGTATGCTAAACTGCTTGCTATGAGCTCTCTAGCAGCAGACCCAGTCACAGCTTGAGGCATTTCCCAACAATGTGTCAAGTGATCAATCTGTCACAGCACCAATATTTTCCTCTTTAAGGCAGGTCTTTCATCACATTGGAAATGACATTGTTGCTGAGCTAATCCAAGACAGATTAGAGTGATGTGTATTAATTCAAGACCATACCTAAGTGATATCTGTTCTTTCGAAATTCCATTACAGCTGCGTAACACATGCTTAGCTACTTACTTCATTAAAATCTGGTTTTCATATGTCAGTTGTCCCAATCCTTCCAGAAATGTCCAATGAATCTTTATTAATTACTTCACCTTCACATGTCCTGGGCAATCATTACTTCTTTTTACCCATTTCCTTCTTAACAGCAATTTAATACTCTGAAAGAAATGAGTAATGGGAAAGAATATTACTGTTGTATATATGATAAATTAAAAGCATCTATTTTCCTTGAAAAGATGCAGCAGTTGTAGTACTCTAAGGGGCTTATTCCTTTCTGTGTAAGTTCCTATACAGGAGGTTACACTTGGCTTGGAAGCATAGTAATTTCCTCTAAAATTTTAGAGCTGCCAAATTATAGCAAGAGTGCTTTCAGAAATCTTCCTTCTTAGGCATAGACCATTTGTCAAGTAAGGTCAACAGCAGCCAAGCAGAATGGACTGAGGTCCACATCTCTGGGTACATCAGTGTTATTGCAGCCATAACCTGGAGTCTGACTGGACCAAAAGCTTTAAGACCATGAAGCTCTTGGAAGACTTAGGAGTTTTAAGGCATGGGACCTGTCTACAGGGAAAGCTCAGCAGGAGTGAGAACCAAAACTGAAGAGCTCAGACAGAAAGAAGGATGAGAGGCTAACCAAGGGGAGCAGGTGTTGACTAGAGAGAAAAGACTAAGGAAGAATGGGGGAAGGGAAAACAGCTGCCAGAAAGAGGCGGAGTAAGCCATTTCAGAATTCAGTATTTATTAGTAGTACTGAACCCAACAACCAGTGCATTCTTTGGAACCACTTACTGACAATATTTAATGCTTACCTATATATGCATTAAGGAATTATTGCAATAAAGGTGAGTCCTACCAGAGCTGTAGCTGCAGTACACCAAAGGCCTGCTGAGAACAGCAGCAGCTTGGGAGCCTTCCTAAAACAGAGGGCAGCAAATGCACACTCGCCAGTGTTGCTTCTAGTTGGCCAAATACCTTCTGAGCAGACTCAGAAGCTTCAGGAAAGTAGAAGAGTTCACAATATATTTAAGGGACAAACTTCTCAATGTCAAGAAAAATTCTACTGCGTAAAATTCCCAGATAATGACGAAACTGGAGATAAAGAAATTTTTTAAAAGGGGGTTCTGGCTAGTGGATGGAACTGTAGAAATAAAGATACGCATGACCTCCAAGGTCTCTTGGGAGCGGAGAAATATTGATTATCAACAGTACAAATTCAAAAACTCAAAATGTAGGAAAGTGCCGGAATTAGCATTGGCCATGCAAATTTATTTCAGCCTTCTTGTGTATGAATTATGATGATGATGTCTTAGTTACATGATCACCCCCTATATTTTCTATGGTCTCCAGCCTCCCATAGTTCATGACATGGATGGTGGTCATTGAATGGACAGCTATTTGGTTTCTTGTTTCCTATTTGCAAAGTTATGTTCATTGAGATCTGCTAAAGAAAGTGCATCAAATAAGCTGCTATTATCTAGAACCTTCTGAGCATGTATGAACAGCTATTTACTTCACAAAATTTGTGCAAGCTTTAATGGCTAAAGCAAAAGGCACGCCCCTGATATGAAGGTCACCTCTCTTCTAAAGTCAAGTCTCCTCTTTAACGCATGACAACACTGGACTCTTCAAAGCCCATTAAATGTTTAAACATACAAAAGCAATGGATCTTACCTAATCTTGTCCTCAGAAATAGATTATTTGTTTTGGCAAAAAAAATAATTGTTTTGATCTAAGGCAGATATTCAGTATGGAAGATGTCAGCCTGAATGGTTTAAATGAGAAGGAATGAACAAAAGCATTTACATAGAAATGGAGGGTCAAACTGACACCATGAGCTGTGAAGAGCAAATGATTTCTATGGAAGTGCATAATCCAGGGAGCAAGTTTAGAAGCAGAGCTCCAGTTCATCCGGCATTTTGCAGATGCTGAAAAAGAGCACAAGTACGGTAGCTATCTGAACCTATTTACTGTTGCATTGTGCTGCTGCAAAGATCCTTAAAGTGTCAATTCAATGTTCTGTTATTGGCAGTGATAAAGTCATACGAGTTGTTCCTGAGAGCGAGAGGGAAACACAGATCCTGAGGGCTGCATTTAACAGGCTTAAGGTGAGTTTGATTATCCTCATCTTCTTTTTCTGATCTTTGTTGAAGACTGTAGCGGGTTAACTGACATGCCTTTCATTTGGCACTTTACTTCAAGCTATTTTACACTCTGGAAAGCAGCCTTTGCCCATTAAATTCCTAATTTTCCAATAAAATAGCATAGGAATTATATTCATCATGCCCGACAATTTTAACAAGAAACACTTATTGCCTTAAAATAATATAGGTGCCACACTTGCAAATTTGCTTTTTTCGCTCTTTCACTTCTTGCTAGCATACGTAGTTGCATGCTTCATTATCTGGTTGACGGTTTTATTTAAAACGCTGAGTTAATTCAAGATATGAACACACACAGGAATAGGAAAAGGAAGTGCCTTCAGTTTGAGAATCTCTCTGGCAGAGTAATTTTCTAGAGGCAGTTGAGAGAGTGTCTACGAGACTCACTAGCAAGCCAAAAACTTTCTTCCCTGGCCTTTTCCTGCAGATGTAAATGAAATGCAATGGTGCCACTGTAGCAGCGCAGCACAAGAGCTGCCACAAGAGCCACTCTGCAGCGCGCTGCTTTGCTGGCACAGCTAACGAAGGCACAGGCAGTCTTTCCACAGCAGTGTGGCCCATTATCTCAGAGGAGGATGGGCAGTACCCGTAAGCAAGGTCTCTGGCCCCTGCGACAGCACGGAAGGGACTGCACTATGCACAGGCGCTGCCCTCAGGCACTGGGGGAGGGACAAGCCTCATTAATAGTCTCCAAAACACAGCCTAACCAGAGCAGAACCAGGGAAGTAACAACTTGATCACAATGTTGAGTTTGTTCGAGGAGTTGAACGTGGGTCCCAGGCTCTGCCTCTTCCCTTGTGTTAGTTCATACTCTGCTTAAGCCCGGCGGGCAACAGTTGACTTCTCCCTGTACCTATGAAGGTAAAGGAGTTTGATGGGCAGCCTTACAGGCAGCACAGGCACAAGCTAACGTCATTTGGCACAGCAAATTCAAGCCTTCGTTTGTGTCTGGCTGAAAAAAGCTGTATGGACATAGACAAAGGAACACATTGGTAACTTTGACAGTCCTGTGACATATAGTTTTGGGTCACAGCAGAACACCAGTGGTACCAAAGTGATGGGAGCACGTGCTAAACCTCTGGGTTGCTCACTGCCTTCAACTCCAGCAAACCATTAGGCAGTCTGTGATGTATCTCCGTCTCCGTTGTTGAAACCTCATGTAAATGATTGTGTTCTCACTGAGGCAAAGAATGAAGGTGCGTATAATTTTCTAGTCCAATACGTCTGGGATACAAGTAAATCAAATCTCAGTCCGCATACCAAATCAAACAAAATGAAGATCTTAGAAGAGCTCTTACGCCCTCCTGAAAAGCATTCCATCTTCCAGTTATGACAAGGCTTTCTTGCTACCATTTTTTAAGAAAGTGGACAGAGCTACCTTAGGTACCTCAGCCCAGGAGAAGGCTTACTGCTGCGAATACTCCAGCAGTCAAGACATTGATGCCTTACTAGCTTTAAGTAGGAAGGCTGAGGCTCTCTTCATCACCTCTGTGTTTTTTAACGATATGTTCAGTTAGTCCCCCACTCAAGATGCTGTCTTTTGTAAATCCCATTCTTGAGACATCCAACCTGTGCACATGTTGCATGAGGAATTTCAATGTTCAACAGAGGCAGTGTCGCAATGCTATGTATTATACCACTTTGTACTGTAATGCCCAACTCTCCTAAAGAATATTGTCTTATATTTGTTTCTGCAGTGCTTATTAAGGGCCTGACCCTCAACTGTGAATGTTACTGTAATACCCTAAAAAGGATAATTGTTTTACTCCCAGTTAGGAAAAAAAATCTAACCATAAACCCAAGAAATACATGTGGAAGCTGGTTTTTGCATTAATTTCTTCCCCCTGGATGCTGGAACATAAAGATGGAGCACATGTGTTTTTTCCTTTCTCCTCATATTGCAAACCCTGCGAAGCAAAAGGGTTACTCACCTTCCTGCAACTGTTTCTTATTACAGAGCTCCCTTAGGCTCCCAGAAAGAGATTCCTTCACCCAATCCCATCAAAGTGGGAGCAGTAGAAACTTGAATAAATAATTGCATGCTATAACTCTGAGAGCAGGATAATAAAATTTTGGCAAACTGCATCAGAATCTGACTAGTTAATTAGAAAGTGATTGATTCTGATGAGGTAGTAAGCTGAGGAGGTTGAAGGGAAAATTCAAAAAAGAGAGAGAGTATTGACACCCAGTTTCATGAAAACAGGCTGGGTTTGGCTGCATTTCAGGTCTTAGGGCTCTCCCATCTGCAGCTGCTTCACTGCCCATCTACGTGGGGTCAGAAAGAGACACCTGGGGGGCTAACAAGTAATGGGTATGTTTAACTTATCATTATCTTTTCTCCCCCCAAAAAAAATCTCAAGTTACTCACCCATGAAAGAGTGGATCGACAATGACACTTCTTAGAAGTGCCAAGTACTCACAATACCAGCAAAAGTCAGTAGCGGCTGCAAGTCATCAGCCCCTCTGAAGAACCATGTATTTACAGTTGTGCAATTTTTTAAGTCTCCATGTCAGTCTCCCCTGTCCTTCTCCTGCCCCCAGACTTCCAGAGTTGGAAACTCAATGGACAGTGGACTTAAACGTTCAATTTTTTAAATATGAGTCTTTAAGCACAATGCTGATAATGTGCTCAGGAGAAAATAGAAGACAGTGCACCAAAAAAAATGCAGTAGTGCAAAATAAGCTACAAACAAAGCCCAGATATAGTCCTGTTGCTGTCTTAACACAGTATGCCCGGCAAACAACAGAGATATGAAAAAGGGGGTCAACAGAGATACACAAATTGCTACAATTACAAGTACCGCACTTTGGATTTTTAACTTTTAGAGTCAGAAAACCAGAACTGGTTTAAGACACATTCCCTTTGAATCCATTTTGGTTTGAGCAGTAAATTAATACCAACCTGTCATATTACTCACATGTTCTGTTCCTCAAGGGAAGAATAAAGCTGGAACCAGGATCCTTCCAAGACACAACAGTTTTGTACCTAAATAACCATCAAATAGCACCAATTTCACTTTTTTTTCAGAGAAAGTATTTTGGGATTAAGTGCAAGTAGTTGGTCTATTAAAGAACGTTAATATTTTATTTAAGGCCATTTGAAAACTTCAACCTGAGTTACGATATGGCCTGATAGTATTCTCCACTATTGTCAGTATTAGAAGAACAAGAAAAGCCAGTGAAAACAAAAGTTACATCACTTTCGTTCTCGAAGTGAGACGTATACCTGCACTTGGGTTTAAATTCAGACATAAGTTTCTCTACCCTGGCAAGTTGGTCTATTAAAGATGAGGTATATTTCAAAGGTACCAGAAGTTATGCTCTCTAGTGATGTCAGGATGAGTCCCCATTAGTCAACCCAAAGAAGCACAGAAATTGCAGTGCAAAAGTCAAGTTTGGGTAGCCCAGTTTGCGCCCAGTGTGATCCATGCACAACTTAAATGTTTTGAATAAATTCCCAGGACAATGCAAACACAGAGTAGATTCTGCGCAAATGGATCGTATTCTCGTTGCAGGATTTCCTTGCATACAACAGACCATCTATGGCTCCATCCTCACTGTGTCTGGTGGAGGGAGCTTTACTATAGAATCATGGTGTTCTGTGTTTATTCCAGCCATTTCCTTCTGCCTTTAAAATCTACACTTGTAAGGCAGAGTCACTTAGCCTTTGCCTCTGGCCTATCTTCCATAATCCAAAGAATTAAAAGGAAAACTCATCTCTGTCCAGTTCAAATGAGTGTATCCTCCTGAAGGGCTTTATCACAAAGAAGTTTGAGAAAATTGTCCTGATGGTCCTGTTACAAAGCAGTGTATTTCAGTGTCAGGCAGAGAATAAAGCAAATGCAAAGATACCCCTTCTTATCACCCACTGATTTGGACAAAAGGAAAACAATCAGGAAGAAAATAAACGGGCACTGGAAACAGTGGCAATGTATCTTTTCACTCATTCTGTTTTATCTGCCTGTTTCTTAATGACTGCCCTTATCACTGATTTTTCCTGAGTAGATTTTGTCATTTACAGTCTGGTGTAGCTGCTTTCTTTCAAAAAGAAACACCAGGGCAGTGGGGAAAAAAGTGGGGAGAGCTTTGCCTTCTGCCACGCTGAAGCCAATGCCATAGAAGTCAGCAGGTTGCAAGATCCATCCCTTTTGGGAAGAGGATCAGACACATGTCCTTTCTTGAATGTGCATTTACAGAAACCTGCACTGAGACATACTTGAAGGATCATCTTGGAATTGGCTGTATGTCTTGATGTGTTTGAAGTATCTTAGAATATGCCTCCAGTAATTAACTTGGGCAGCAGTGGCAGTCTAGCCACAGCGTAAGCGACAAAATTCGCTGAAGAAGTTGGATGACTACTCAGGGGCTTTAGTCCACGTGGAAGCCTTTTGATCTCAAACAAGACTGCACTTCTACCAACACCTGAGCTCTAAGGTTAACTCATGCACTTTTACAGAAGGTGTAGTCCCTTCAGACTGTTTAAATTTAGCATCTGGAGCTCCTTAGGAGGTATATTTGCCCCTTTTTTTTTAAGAAAAAAAAGTCCATATAATGCTTAGTGTAATAAACCCCTGAAACCTGCCTGAAGTGTATAGGCTCTGCTACAGTACAAATGCCATTGCCTATACTGAGTGAATAATGGATAATGAATGTTTCATTCCACACGCTTAACTTTTGGTTCATGAATTGCCCAAAGGCAAATCGCATTAGTCATAATCACTTGCTGAGTAATTTCCACAAATTAGTTTTGGTCTGTAGCTCCATTGCCCACAGTGCTTTGTTATTAATCATTATTATAAATTGATTCCTTCATTGGCTGGTTCTGTTAACTTGTAGGTGACAAAATATTGCTTTTTTCCCTGATAGGGTGAACATAGCACGTAGACCTGCACTGCCAGTAAAAATAGCCAGCCTTACAGATTAAAATTTGTCTGCTGTGAGTTCTG